AATTGAATTTCAACGTTTCAGGCTTCCGCTATATACTGGTGGAACTTTTACAATAAAGTGGAAAATTAAAAATTGAAATCGTTAAAAATCCTGGTTTGTTTCTTTTAAAATTTTTGCACAGTCATCCATTTGAGCAACAGAAAACAGTGTCACTCTCCCTGGCTTATAACATGATAAATCCCTGACAGATGTTGAGAGAACACCAATGATGCTAATAAGTAGGGAACTAAACCGTTCCGGAAATACGACGGATAACCTGTGTTTCCGTTACCGGTTTCGTAGACGTTTTCTCGCGTAGCTGGGTGATTTATAAGCTTCAAGCCATCAATCCTTTTTAACTTGGAGATGCTAGTTCGAAGTCTCTTTGGAAATTAGAAACTGGGATATAGACGATAATAATTACGTATTTTGGTATCCTCTATGACAAGCTGCAGATTAATGCAGCAAGGGAAGTAAAGAGCATAGGTAGAGTGATAATATGACACATGACTCTTTGCGCACAACTTATTGTTTTTAAAGGTTGTATGGCGTGGTCATCTTGGAGTGGCGGCTGCGAAGAGTGCAAGAACATTCAGTACCGGCAAAGAGTCGGTAAGTGACAAGAGGGAGTTCTTAGAATTTGTGACTCGAAAGTGCAGTGGCGGGTTTTCGCCATTGTTTTACAACTTCCAAAACTATGCAGCATTTATAAGCTTTTGTTCAATTGGATTAATTCTTATGTATAGATTGCAATGATAATTAGGCAGGAACCTTCAGCAGTTATTGTCAATGGATGTTTTCTTTACTAGAAATAAGATGACTTAATCTCCAACCGTTTATTACTTTTAAAAGATTATCTGGATAACCTTACTTCTAGAATTTAACTGCTCAAGAACTTTGGAAGCACGGCCTTGTACATGTAAGTGGTTTTATGTATGAGAAAGTTAAAGACTCAATTGTTGGTAGAAAATGCTGCACAGATATCCTTCAACTGTTCTTATATTAAACTTCAAACTCTTTGTTTAATATACTTTGGTTTTACCAACAGAGTTGGTAATTTAGATTGGCCATCGCAAAAATTATCAAAGTTGACGTTTCGAGCGTTAACTCTGACGAAGCGCTAACGGTTGAAACGTTGGCTTAGAAAATTTTTACAGTGGCCATTTTACATTTTCAACTTAGTTGATAAGACCTAAGAGATTTTGGAAACTTACCCCCCTTTTTCTTTGTAAAAAAAAAAAAACTTGGCTCGCACTGAATTAAAAACATTTGATTTTTTCTGCAGGAGTTTCATTATTACCGATTAGACGCTAGATTTAAATTTTGTCACAAACAACAAAGGCAATTTTTCTTTAGTAGAAAAAGGAAGATAATTACAGTTTCATGTAGAACAGGCGTGATTTTCGCGAGCGGGTGCTAAGTAATTTTCCTAAATGAAAATCATGGCTGCAAACTTTGATTTTTACAGCAGGGGAGAACTGGGGAGAGAAAGATAATTGCACCAAGATTCTGAACGAAGGTTAAAAAGAAGTAGAGGGGGAGGGGATGGGGATCAAGTTTTAAATAAATCATTATTTTCCTTTTCAAAATTAAAAAGGTCCTCCTGAAATAAATTCTCGAAGAGAGAAGTCTGTCAAATTTAATTCAATCCTTCAAGTGAATTGTCTTGTGAAGGGTTTTCCTAAACTAGACGTGAATTGGACAAGAGATGGAAAGCTACCTGATACCACGAACAAGCTCACCATTAAACAAGTGACTTATGAAGACGCTGGTCAATATACATGTAGCGCTAAGAACAGTGAAGGAAAAAAAGAAGCAAGCTTTACTTTTTCTCTTCTAGTTACTCTTTTCATTTTCTGTTCTTTTTTTTATTGAAGTGAAAGGAGGTACAGTTCTCATTCATAAAAACGAGAAGGAGTTCTGGTTCATAATTGAAACAAATGTTCGATTTTTTTTTTCATTACTGAAAAGTAATTTTCATAATTTTTTTCATTACTGCGAAAATGAAAAAAAAGACGATTCTCGTTTTCCGAATCAGATCTACGGACTTTTAAAACACATAAAAAGAAAGTTGATTTAGAATCCAAAAATTATTCAGTTAATGAAGCAATGATGACTTTTAAAAAACGAGTTTAAGATAACCGGTAGAACAAACATTATAACAGAACTCAGAGAAAAGGTACGCTCTGATTGGTCAAAAATCTATCGGCTATTGTCCCTGTAAACCCATAGATAACCGAAAAATTTTCCTGCCCTGAGAAATGAAGCCATACTAGACGATATCCCAGATTTCAATTTATCGAAAGCCTTTGATTTAATGGAATAGAGGAGGACGCTTTTAACGCCGCAATAAAAACGAGCAAAATGTTGTTTTCTTAACATTTACCAAGTTTTCTACTTATAAAATGTAGTTTAACTAACTATTAGCGCCGTTTTAAGCTTTAAATTTCGCTTTCAATTCGCTACATCCCCAACCGGAAGTTGCTCACACTTTGACTGTATCAGCCTATGGAAAACCATTTGAAATGTTTTCCGAGGTTTCTACTTGAGATTCATAACTTCTTGCAGCGCAGAGCTATAACGCCTACTTTGTTTTCTCATTTTAACGTCGGGTCTCGTATTCTACTGAAATTTTTACTTTAATTACTGAGCAGCGCCCAAATCATCTCACTCGAGGTTTTTTAAGCCCGAGAATAAAGGTGAGAACAGACTGGCACGGACTCCCCATGAGGCTTTTGTGGTCGCGTCGCATCAAAACCTTCAAATTATATTTTTCCTCTAACAAGCGTGAGTTTCCCTTTTGAAAGAGATGATCGCAGGTTTTGTAAAGATTACTTTCATCAAGGGCTGACTCCAATGTTCCATCGATATTTGTTTTAAATTTTTAACTGCCGAGTGGTACGTTGTGACCTTTTGGCTTTTGTGTATGCGTAAGAGCCGATTGCCTGGAGGCAAAGTTGACCCCTAACAGAGACCTTTCTATGATGTTTTCTAGGTATCATCCTGCTTTGAGGCGTGGTTTGAATTATAAAAGGCCCTCCTCTTATATTTCTTTCGGAGAATTTGTTCTAAGCAATCTGATTGCTTCGCATTTAATGAAACTATGTTTAACGCCTGGTGGGTGGCACGAGGCGAAGTGCGTAAACTGGAAGGTCTCGGTCGCCTTGTAATGGGTTTTGCGAATCTCTCTGCTCTAAACACTGTGGAATCGAGGAGGTGATCTGGTTCTCTGATATTTAGGCCGTGAATTTGATACTAGGATGGAAATAGTTAGCTCGTTTAATAAACTATCTACTCCTTCTCTGTCTTAATCCAAAAGAGAGTCATCAATGTAACGTTTCCATTCTCTTGGCCTGGTTTCGCTTTGTTGGATTAATTTCGTTTCAATTTTCGCCATGGAAATATTGGCAAATGACACCGCCCATTTTCGTTTGGGAGAAGTTCTCTTCATTGAATTGAAACAAATTTTCTTGAAATATTAAGCCAAGCATTTCCTTGAGGTAATGCGTTGGGATCGGTGCGTTATGGTTGTTGAACTTTTCGTACACTTCGTTCCTTCTTCTTGAGGTATATTTGTGTACAAGTTAGAAACGTTCATTGATACTAGAATAGTATCTTTGTCTACCTTTGTTTTTCTATGAAATTGATGAAAAGCAGTGGCATCCTTCATATAGGATTGTTGCAATTGCGCCGTAGGCTGGGGCAGTGTCTCCACAAAAGATGATTTTCTCTCGGTAGGGCCCTCGCAACCTGAGATATAGATCTACCGACCGGTATAGGTACGTGTATTTTCGTGAGCTTATAGAATGTTGGTATTCTAGGCGGATTGGAAGTTTGTGAAAGCCAACTCTTATTCATGTCATCAATGGGTTTGCCCTGACGCATTTGGTCAATGATCTCATTAACTCTTTTCTGCATGTTTTTCACTATTGGTGCTTTGAGAGGTTGTGGTTATTCATGATGACTGTTGTACCTTTGTCGGCTTTTTTTAGGTTTAATTAATTAATTTGGCTATTTTGTCACTGTTTTTTTTATAATGTTCGCCGTGTGCTTTCCTTTGAGCGGTTGCCTATATACATGTTTTTTCTCGTGAGATATCGTTTTCGTCTTCTTCACCAAGACTTTGTGTAAGGTATTCCGCTAGAGAACTGTCAAAGGCGGACATTGGTGCAACTGTTTATAGTGGCTACAACAACATCGACGGTTTCGACTCTTCACGAGTCTCTTCAGCTGTTGTTTGAAGATGGTGTTGCAATAGCAAGGTCTTTCAGGGAAAGGTAGAGTGGTGTTCTCAGTTCCGTTCCCGAATGGAAATTGCTTCTGTGCCCTTTTTATACGTAGATCGTTAGGCTTAAGGATCGAGTTTCCATTATTCCTATTGGTCCCTGATGTTGGTCAGGGAACCAATAAGGAGCAGGCCATTTCGATCTTACCCGATCTGAAGGTTAGAGTGAGTTTTTAGGAAGGCCTTTTCTGCTACGTAATTCGCCTGAAAAGCTACCAAGACTCATAATTGAAATTTGTTACGGTTTCCCATAGTGTTTGTTTCTGTTCCCCCTAAAAAGGAGGGGCTTAAAATGTTGTTTTTAAGCTATAGTTTGTGTATTGTGCATTTGTACATTAACTTATTATGCACGCCAGAGTGTTTGCACATAAAGGACGGGGTCTGTCTGGAAACTATCAACATGGGAATAAAGGTAAAGACAGACCGGCACGGATTCCCATCGCATTATCGCCTTCAAATTATATTTTTGCTCTCACAAGTGTGTCTCAATAAGTTTATTGCAAACCCTACGGCATCGCGCCAAATACCAACTTAATGAGTTTACCGTAACCAGATGTTGACATAAACATTCAAATTAATTATAGAGAAAGGTAGAAATACAGACTGCACCTCTGTCTTACATACTTTATTTGTTAAATGATCCAAACATGTCGTCTATGGTTGTTTATCATATGTTTTTGTTTACAGCATTGTCAGTGGATGGTGGCTGGAGTGAGTGGAACTCCTGGAGTATCTGTACCAAGCCAGTTGGTGGTATACAAACAAGAAAGAGAGAATGCACCAATCCAGAACCAGGACGTTGTGGGAAACACTGCAATGGGACCGGAGCACTGTTGAGAGTATGTAGCAACATGTCCAGTTGCCAAGAAGGTAACATACAAATTGCAGCCTTTCTGATTTCCGTGGATGAAAACTTCTTTGTTGAAAAAAAACTGAACAAATTCAGGAATAAAAGTTAGAATAACAACAAATGAATGGAACTACTGGGTTTGAACTTTAATCACATAATCATCTAGGCAAAGTATGTGAAATGCACAAATTATCAAAAGTCAGGAGTTCATGAATGGACAAACTCTTTACATGTATGGAATTCACCATTCTTTTCTTGAAAGAAATGAAACAAATATCCACTATCATTAGTACTAAAATATAGGTACTAAAATATTTCCACGAGCTTTCGCTAATATTTGTGGTCGCTCTATAAGAAGTCTGCACTATCTGCGCAATGGCGATTACGAATTTTGCTGGACTGCCCGTAAACAATACCTTTTTAGCTAACCCGGTAATGTTAACTATCATCCAATGACAAGAAACATGTTCAAAAATGCGAGAGCTTCAGTTACTAAATAACCTTTTGGCATTGACCTGCCGGCAAAGAAAATCATGCTAGCTAAACAGGAAATTCTTCCACCATAAACTGAAAAGAAATCTTTCAAAAATGTAAGGATTACTGTTACTAGGTAATTATATGGGGACATCATCAACACAAGAATTTACCTATGCTGAAGTAGTTCACGCTGTTTATTGTTATCCTCATTTTTTTTTGAATATTTGAAGAATTTCCCCTGCGTTTTGAAACAGAGAAGAACCCATCTTTTGGTACAATGAAGATATTCTCAAACAGCAGCTGGCAAAAGCTTTGTACCAGTCAATGGGATGAAGCAGATGAAAATTCAACCTGCATGGCCATGGGCTACTATAACAACGGTGCTAATGACACATGGTACGCAGAACGTGGCAATGCTACAGAGATGTCCACCCACTACAACTGCACCATTCCCACCAGATGTCAAAACAAACAACAATTTTGCAAAGGTAATATTGAATTGTACTCATGTAATATCCACACGATCTCCAAAGATGGTAACTTGATAGATTTACTCACACTCCAGATATGAAAACTTTTACGAGATCAATGATCGCTCATCTTCGGGTATCTTTTAGGTTCTAAAAAGGTTTCTATCGTTAAAAATCTAGCGGGTTTCTACTGTTTACACCCTAAGACGATTACAGTTGAATTACTGCCGAAAGAAGAACTTAGCTGCGCAGTTATGCATTTCAGTTTCATGGACTTCATAACCTTACTTCAAACCCTTTACTAAGTTTCCTTAAAACTATTGCATCCTTCTAGTTTCCTTTTTTTTCTCTCTTTCGTGCAAGTAGGGAATTTCACAATTTTTCATTCTACTTGTACCTAACTAAACGCCTTTTTCTTGATTATTCTGTGAGAAATGCTTTAAAATGACTGTCTAGTTTAAAATGTTAATCACCCTTTTGTGTTCCCCGAAGGCAAAGAAAAAAGTCTTGAATGTTCCAAAATTATTGAAAAAAAACATCTAGTTTTACAATTTAAAACGCAGTCACGAAGCAATGTAAAAGAGGTTTGTCGTAAAACATTGCAGCAAGGAAACCACACCGTGACAACGAACGATGCGGCCAACGTTCGAATACTGAATAATTTGCACCCAGAATTTCACTTAAAACAAAACACTTAGACTGGCATGAACTATTTATCATTTCGTGATTTATAGGCATTCTTGATTGTTGATAATTAGTGTTTTCCATCTTAACGGATTGAACTTTTTGTAATTTCATAAGTTCCTGTTCGCTTGAATGGCGCAAATGTGGAGTATGGAGGAAGAGTGGAAGTGTTTTACAAGGGGAAATGGGCAAAGATATGTAGGAATAAATGGGACTTTAATGATGTCAAAGTTATTTGTCGTCAACTTGGCTTTGAAGAGGCTTTGGCGGAGTTCATTGGGTCAGACATAAAGGCTGAGGGAATACCTTTTGCAATGTCCGATGTCTCTTGCACCGGAGAAGAGTTTGAACTTGCATCATGCGATCGCATCGATGGAAAGTTAAATATTCCCCCTCAATGTCAATCGGATGACAAGGGTTCTCAAGCGTTGTGTCAACCAAGTAAGCAACTAAATTTTTATATCTGATTAGTTACTCTGGTTTTCGTGGTTGTCTTTCTTCTTACCATTGAGGGAAATCAGAGTAAATTGAGATACACAGATGACCACAAGACCATTTTTAAAAACATTCTGCCAAAGTGTGACGTCTCAAGGTGGGGTAACCCGCCTAGCCGGGGTCGCGTTCATGGCAAAAAGCTCAAAAGCGAAATATGTATGTTTTAAAACTTTGTACATACCCTAGCCGTCTCATGGCAGAAATCATCAGAAACCGTAACGGACACACAAGGAGTGTAAAATGTTCACATTTCGGAATATTTAGCGTTGTAAATTGACCATATTTGGTTTCCCAAAATATTCCGTAGAACGTATTAAGTCAACGGTTCCCCGCGAAACCAAACACCGCGTAACACAACGCGTGACGCTTTCATGAATAAATACATATGTGAGCGAGAATTAATCTTCCATCTTTTTCGAGATGTGAGCTTGGGACACCTCTGCTCAGACTCCTTAATTGCAAGCGCAACAACAACCTCAAGAAACCTCACCCCAGCACCCCGGGGTTGTAAGATTGCATGTAAACGCGTTTTATTTTTCGACCACGGCTAGGCGGGTTACCTCACCTACCTGGGGCCTCCCACCTCCATGTAAACAGGCCCTTGCCTTCTTGTCACCACCGTTTACTGGCATAAATCACTACAATTTGTAAAACAAATCTGACATAACACTCTTACCTTATTTATTTATGATTTTATTAGCTGTTTCGACGATCAAGTTATGCCCTACCACATTTTAGCCAGATTAAAAATCTTCTCCACGTTATTATATGAGTTGCATGACAAGCGTGATACAAATTCAAGCATGAATCAACCTCCGAATTACCAAGAGATAGGTTCTTTTTCCCTCTTTGCATATCTGCATACCTATAAAAACCTTCCAGGAATTACTGTATTCAGAAAACTAAAATATCCAGATCCATCATTGGTTCCTTTGCCGGCGGAAGTCAAAGAATGTTCACAAAAGTCAATTCGATTGACAAGCTACATACTGATTTAGCTAATTGATCTGTTGTGTAAGCGTCTCATCTTACATGCTAACATGGAGATTTGCTGTTCATTTAAATCGTTCGCTGGTGGGACTTTTGGGTATCGTTATCGAGAAGACCGACGTTGCATATCTCAGGTCGTTCCCTTGCATAGTTGTAAAAAAGACATTTCAAGTCACTTGCGGAGATCCAGAAACTGAAGTTGGTCTTATTTTGTCGCAAGCCGGCATCTTCGGGACGCCAAAAGATACCGATGATTTCACAATCTGCCCCACTCGTAGATCAAATATCGGTACCGGTGTCACAGCGGATTTGGACCCCCCCGTCTGGCAATCTGCAGACAATGCAGAGCCACTCGCCCTCGGGGCGGTTTTAAATTCCTCGCAGTTCATGTGTAACCATTCCTCGCACAACTCGCACTGCACCACTTCATCCCAACACTCGGGCATTGAACAATGACAAAATAAATTAGTGTCACAAGTTTGTCTCTTATTGAGTCTAGCGGTGTTCGAATATCGCGGAAAAGGTTTAAAAACGACCTTTCTCCAGACATTAAACAACTTGCCCTTTTCGAGAGAAACTGCTACGCCTGCTACTGATTAACGAACGATTAGTGGCCACAAAAGTGACATACTTCAAATATTGTCAATTCAACATAAATGAAAAATCTTCATACAGCTGGGGTAAAAATATTCATTTGTGTTGGGATCAATTACAAGACGTCTGGAAAATTCATAATACCAGCTTTTGCAAAAATGGGGTCTCGATTGGGGGAAAACACAACCCAGCAAACTTTTAACTGGCTGCTCCTGGCACAAAAGTAATATTCAAAAGCGTAATATAATAACCGAAACAGCTTATTGGTCTTATAACAATTATCGTGACTAATAAACAAGGTAGGGGAGTGTTATGTTAAGATTTTTTTCCTGGAAAAAAATTGTAGTGATATAATGACCGAAACAGCTTATTGGTCTTATAAAATCATAAGTAAACAAGGTAAGAGTGTTATGTTAGATTTTTTTACAAATTGTAGTGATTTATGCCAATAAACAAATTTTGCCGGACTTTGAGTTCGTCTCACGATAGGGCAACACAAATACACAAGGAAATTTTTACAGTAACTTTATAACCATCCTTTTGTCTTTTATAAACTAGAAGCTCATTGTTAAAACTGTCTTTGTTTTGGTGCTACTTTTCGACATAGAAAAAGTATGTCAGACAAAAATATTCACCTTAAAATTAATACTTCTTTGCTAGCTTCAATACTGAGAGGGGATTAAGTTTAGATGTTAAAAAAAGGATTATGTTGACAGAAATATCGGAGGTCAAGTAAATTCGTTACATGAGGTCACACAACTCGGGTGATATTCACGGTGAAAATTTGCATATTTGAGCGGTCGAACGAAAAAAATAATTTCTCGAAAACTAAAATATATTTTCACAAAAAAAAACTACACCACAATTATTAGGACATATTGGGCTACAAAATATGAAAGTAGGAGTGAAAGCAAATTTTGGGTGACTTGCCGTTGTTTGTCTGATGCATGTTAACATTAGCTCTTAAGAAACTTACCCTCCTTATAGATGATTCAGCTTGGTCTTGAGGTAAAATGACGTTAGCTAGGGTGTACATGACTTTCATGAAGGTAATATGACTGCTCATAAGATCACTTGACTTCAGTTAAGGGTTACCTAATTTTTTTAATGGGTTACATAACCATTTTTGGATGCGATATAAAGGTTACATTACTTTAATAATGGCTGATATGACTTTGTTTGGAGTAATGTAACTTAGTTTTAAGTACGACAAAGTTAAAAAATTTCTCAAGTTAAGCTTTAGTGCAAATAAATATATTCAACTTTTTTATCTCTTCTTGTGGTGTTAATTAAACAAAATTTGACTTATTTTGACAACATCTTCCAAACCGAACCATTTTTTTTTGCAGAGAACAAGAATGTGTTGAAAGGAGTTGAACTCTATTTTGATATTGGTAGCGGAGAAAAGCTTCGCTGCTCTATACACAATAAAACCAATCATGCTAGATGGGTCATCAATGGGGAAAAGCTTGAAATAACAAACTCTACTTCTCAAAGGATCAGGGCTGGAGACAATGGTGATCTGTTCATCGATGATGTACAGCTGTCTGATGGAGGAATATATGAATGCCAGAGATTGGAATATGTTCAATATAACATTGTCTACATTAATGGTATGAAAACAAATCTTTTTATATTGTAGAAATAGGCTTAACATGCATGACAATGTCATGTAAGACAAGTACACCTCTGACCTTTCAAAAGTGTAGCTATGATATTAGTACTTTTCATTACTCCTTTCAACAGCAAGATTTACTGAGAAGACGTTGGACCAACAAACCGTTATTGCGTACGAGTCTGGCATTATAAGCTGTAGTGCTGATGGAAAACCAAATCCCCAGATTTCTTGGAGTAAGAAAGGAGGAAAGCCCTTAGACCCGAAACGATTCACTCAAGTATCCAACGGCAGCCTGCGTATTGGTTTTGTAAAGCCTGAAGACGATGGAACATTCACTTGTACCATGAAACAAACTAAAGGAGCAAAGAGGGTCACAAGCAAAGATAAAAACATACGAGTGAGAGTTATAAGTGAGTGACCAATGAGATAATATATAGAAAGTCATAAAGTCAGTTCTTCAAATGTGATTAATTTAATTTACTCAATTTCAAAACCTTTTCGCTGTTCATATTCGCAGCTATGTGAGGCGACATTTTATCGTGAACATGTTCGTTCGTTTTAGTTGCTTGAAAGTAGGGTGTCATGTTAAAAAAATTATACTTAAGTTATTTGTCAACGGTGTAGTTTCCTCGTTATAACTCAAAGTAAGTGCCCTCTGATGAAGTTTATAGTTTCTTTCCAAACTGGTAATGTGCTTAAATCGACTTCGGTTGGTCGTGGTGACAAATTCACTTTCTGAATGCAGTATAATCGTTTGTCTCGCCATGAAGACACTTTGGATATGGATCGCGACTTTTTGACTGCATATTGTGTCTTCGTGCTATAAGGTCGGTTGATATGCATGACCTTATGAAACTTTCTGTTTGGCTGTGATTGCCTGGAATCCCACAAAAGCTTCGATTGGCACACTTTGACCAAATGTTCTTCCGGAGTCCACTGTCGCAAAGTTATCCTGTTTTTGTGTTTCTTGTGGTCAGCATCCATGTTTCTGGGATGTCTACCCCAATGTCCAATTTATGCTGTAACAGGCAAAGTCTTATGTGGATGGCCTCTTTTACCCTGCGTTTATAATGATAGGATCACTATCAATATACTCTACTTCAGTCCAGACCAGGTGGTTTCCAGGTGTCTTCTGAAACTGCAGAGGCCTTTGTCTTAGCATGTCGTTTCTCGATCTGCCATATTGCTCGTTTAACCTTACTTCGATAGGTCTGCCTGTTCCGCTAATCTAAATTTTGCCGCACTCACATGGAATCTTGTAAACCACGGGCTCCTGTTTTAAAGGTGCAGTGCCATGGATGGTGGGTGTGTTGTTACTATTTGTAACATCAGTGAAGTGAATGGAATGCTTTTGGTTCTTCAAATGCTGTAGGAAACTATCAGCGTTTTCGCGAGCCAAGATTGTGAATGTGTCATATACATAGCGTTTCCAGATCCTTCGCTGGTAAGATGATAAGGTTATCGATTGCTCCTATAACTCTATATGTGGAGATTAGCAATAACGGCGGAGACCAGACTCCCCATGGCTGCACCTTTTCTCTTACGTAAACTGGTCCGAGATAAAAGGACTATGTAAACCACAATACGAAGTTCGAAAGGTTCGCAATCTGACAAACGATTATGCTTCATATGAAGCGCTACTGTCATCATCAAATGTTCATTTAGTTACGACGTCTAATGTGTTCAATATAAATGATATAGGAATACCTCCGATTTTCCAATAATATGTTATTTATTTACCTTTTAGTTCGACCAGAAGTTTATATTTCTGGAGCACGCAATCTCATCATAGAAGGAAGCAGTGTAAACCTTACGTGTAAAGTTGTGGCGGGTCGGCCTGAACCACAGATCACCTGGCTCAAGAATAATACATTGCAAGGAGAGAGTTTGACTCTCTTCTTTTCTGAGATAACAAAGGAGGACGAAGGGCGGTACACTTGTAAGGCAGAGAATGAAGCAGGCATTTCTACCAAAGACATTGATATTTCTGTAAAGGGTGTGTTTGTAAAGCTCACATTTGTATTATGAATCAATCATGCAATTGATGCACCTACGGAGTGCGGATCAATAGTCAGTGGGTCCGACTCTAGGTTAAGGTGTCTGAGTCTGAGTTAAGGGTAAGGTAATTGTAGAAAACTATCAGAAAAATTAAAAACATGCAAGGGCTTTCAGCTATTATCTGCGACTGATTCACCAGTGACGACCAGGTCCTGGATGAATATTTTTTTCAGAACGCTTCATTAGTTATTTATTGCGAAGAACTGGAAAGCCTTTACAATTGTTCCTTTGTTCCCACTCTAACTATTTGATGATTTCATGGCTTAATTAGTAATATAGCCTGACGGATATGGTTTTTGGAATGATTTGTTTGATATGGTAAAAAAGTGGCTCGTTGTCTTCTTCTCCTTCTTTTTATTGTTATTTATTCTTGTTATTTTTTTTTTCTTTTTGCGGGTGGGGGAGGGGGGGAGGTTGGGTGGCTTCTCATTTTGTAATTTGTGTTTACATGCTTACTTTGCAGTTCCACCCCATGTTCGGAATGAGTCTAGAAATCTCACCATTGCATTTGGCTACCCATTTACTAGAGAGTGTTATTTTAGAGGTGACCCACAAGTATCTGTCAACTGGACCAAGGATGGAGTGCTAATTAGTAAAAACAACACCTTGGTTATTAGAAAAGCGATGTTTAAAGATAAAGGCTATTATGAATGTACTGCTAAAAATGATTATGGTGAAGCAAACTCTTCCTTCTGGATCGATGTCACAGGTAAACCCAAAATTGTAGTTTATGTCATTTATCAAACTTGCAACTTAACAGAGCGTTTGTTTTAAAGTTTAAGCCAAATTTAAATAGACCTATTTTTTTCTCTTTTCATCCATTTCTTGGTCACTTAGAGTTGATTCTGACTTACAGACACCCAGATTGTAAATGAAGATAAATCCATAACCAAAGAAATAATGAAAAACACCTCCCGCTATTAAGGAATTCCAAATCCTGTGGTCCACTCTAACATTTTTATCCATGGACGCATGTCAAAATACTCAATTTGGAGACGTCAAATGACATATTTCCTTTTCTTTATCACAAAATGCGAATGTTTCACATTGTTTTGATCATCATTGCCTGATAACTTTTCAAATTCAATAAATACTGCTAAAAAATAAAACTGATAGCCATTAAACATATATGTTTTTAACATCACACTCAACAACCAGAAAGAAAAAAGTGAAGGTTATCGGCACAACTGGGGCAACTTAAGGCAAAACAATATCTTTTTATGCTTAACGCGAAGAAAACCTTTGGAAAAAAATTGACCTTGTTTAAAAACAGACTTGAACATCGCCTTTCTTGTTTTGATTTTTTTATTGTTGTTGTTTCGTCGTTTTATCAAAGGTTGGATAAATGGAGTTAAAATGGACTATACAAACCTTATTAATTTTGGATTTTTTTTTATTGAAGTATCTCCACAGATTATAGAGCCTCCGATAAACCAGTCTGTTACTGAGGGAAACTCTGTGAACTTTAGTTGCCGAGCCTCAGGTGTGCCAGCACCAACATTAGTCTGGATTTTTAATAATGCTGAACTGCCATCTGGTATCAATCAAACCAATCACGAAGGAGAATCATTCCTAGAATTTTTAAGCGTCACAAAAGGGATGGAAGGGACTTACAAGTGTGAAGCGAAAAATAAAGCAAATACAACTAGTTCCTCTGCAACACTGCGTGTATACGGTAAGTTTAATGATAATGACGATAATGATGACGATAACAATAACGATGACGCTCACTTTGACGATGACGCTGACGATATCCATGGCGATGAAGATGATGTGACGCCAACACTGAACTGATGCTGACGATGAGGGTGACAAATATGGACCAGGATTTTAATCAGTTGCCTTTTTCTTAACGCAGGAAAAGCCTCTGTTCAAGTTTTTCCAGATCAGTATCCAGCAATCACAGCAGGAGACAACCTCACGTTGACCTGCATCGTCAATGAAGAAACAATAAATGTAACTTGGAAAAAAGATAAAGACTCACCACCTGAAAGAGCAAAGATTGATACGCGATTCGATGACAAAAAGAGCACATTTGCTATAACTGAAGTTGAGAAGGAGGACAGTGGTGTGTATTCTTGTGAGGGACGTAATAAGCTCGGTTTTGTTGACCGTTCCTTTGTAAAAATAAACATCAAAGGTAAGCTGATGTTACTGTTGTGTCCTAAAAAGACGTAAAAACTTTATTGATTGAAAAATATATTTCCAAACAGATTAAAACTATTTTTCAGTTAAAGATGAAACAAATGTGGGTCACCTGACTCATCTGCATGAAATTACCTTGCATTGCTCTGTGAATTTCAGTTATTTTGCTTTTAAGAGCAGGTGTCAGTCAAGGGTTAAATAATGCGCCAAGCTATTCCAAAGCTATTCCAAACAACTTGAATTTTATCAGTACTTTTACTACCGTCGAGATTTGTCTAATGGCCACATATTTATCTTACACAATTAGCGAAGCAAGTGCCACGAGCTATGCAAAGTTTCAACACTTTGTGGTATTACATTGGTGGATCAGTGGCGGCAGCGACTGTCATTTCGCTAATTGCCTGGTATTTCTGCAAGCGTCGAAGGGCAGGTGACGTCCATTTTTCTGTGTTATTTCAGATTTCTTTTTCTGAAAAATGTGGGGGGGGGGGGATGGGGAACACTGAGCTAAGAGTCTAAGAGTAGAGATATTTTTATAAGAATTACTCGTGTCCGGCCAAAAAATGCTAATTGTAGAGTTTTTTCACATCTGTATATGTTTTGATAACAATTATAAATTCAGGAAATATCACGTCACTCTTCATTTGTGTAAATTCAAATTATACTGCCATTACACAGAAATTTTATTAGAATTTTATGTCAGTGTTTTGGAGTACGAAAGAGCTATTATAAGCAGGTCATATTGTGCATTTCCAGCACTGATTTTGAAGGTCCTTCTTTAGTTCCGGAAAGTCCATTAACCAATCAAATCACAAAAAGGTTAAAAATTATATCCAGCTGATTACCATGACAACCAGCCATATTCCTTCTGTCGTTGTTTGACAACAGAGTCAAATATATGATACACGTGGTTTCTGAGTCGCAAGCTTTCACTAAGTTAATGATGTCATTCTTACTCACAACGAAGCTATTTCTTCGATCTTTTTCCACATATCCTTTGATAATAGCCCCACCTGAGGTGCCACCCAGGCTGCAGTAAGTGAAATCTTTTTTTTTTTTGCTCACTGTTTGAACGTGTGGTTATTTCCGAAGTTTCTAACTCTTGAATAAGATTTAGTAGAGAAGTGATAAGTGTCACTGCTGAGCAAATACGTCTTTTTTATCAGTTTGGACCGATTATATTCACCATTAAGAGCACACTGGCCAAAATAAAAGGTTTTTCTTTCGATGCAGCTGCAGTTTTGAAGAGGTTCTTATCAAATGGTAGTCAAATGTTTCCTAATATTCTTTCTGTTTTGGATTCGTTCGTCCTTCAATTGTTTTAACACCTTGTTTAGTATCTTTTTTTTGTTGTTACCAGTATGCAGGGTTGTGGGTGGCGTACTTTTAAAGAAGAAAAGAAGCTTTGACCCTTCGTCACTCTTTGTTACAGAAACTACAGTTGAAATACACTCGGAGTCTTGTAGACCGATTTAAAATACCACTCGATATATCGATTGTAGACAATACTTCGGATGGTTTGGTTAGTATTTTATTTCTCGCGCAGGAGGCACGATATTTATATGATGTAAAATGCCGAAAAACAGTCAGGTTCGGTTATTTTGAGGTTATCCTCTATCTTTATTCATTTTTTTTTTCAATAAAATCTCCTCTCTGGGTCGATGCGTTGAAAAAACGGGTTCAGTAAATTAGCATCCAAATTTCACCTATTTCAATAATTTTTCATTGGCAAGTGATAATTTTCTGAAGCACCCGGAAATGAAATGAAAAGAAAAAAAATTTAAATTGAAGATATAGAGCATATCTTTACCACGTTATGTTAAACCAGATTCAAAGAAGGATAGGTAACACAGATAGTTAAAGTCTTGTTTTCATCTGCAATTATTCAGTGAAGGGGAAGATGAAGTTGAGATGGATCAGCTGAACGCTAACACAGACGGATGGGAGATTGCAGCTGACCGCCTGAACCTTCGTGAGCATATTGGCAAAGGGGCATTTGGTTCAGTGTGGCGAGCGCTACTGGGTCGTTCCCGTGGCAGACCTGGAAATCGCACAGTTGCTGCGAAATGCTACCTACGTAAGTACTTTTTCAGATCTTTCTTTCATACAAAGCTTGATTGAACTATCCTTTATTAATTTTTTGAGTAATTTATCCTAATAAAGAGTATTTCTCTTAGAACATGCTTTATTAACCTACCTGATACATAACATGGATAGCTTAAAAACTATGCGCTGTTCAAATGATTTATCAGCTGGCATGTCAAATTAATTGTTAGCGGATGGTTCCCGGGGGGACCAGTTGTTAAATCTTTTGTCATACAACGCTACTAAAATAGAACAGAACACGAATATCATTTGGAGTATTAGAAGCTGTGGAGAAAAATGAAAATTTATTGATTAAATTGCATTCAAGTGTATAAAAGCGGAAAATACTACAATACTAAAAATGTCACTCCGTCGTATATTTTGCAAAGTTGCCCGCTTAGAAACTTTTGATGGGAAATAATGTCATGAGACCTCAAAGAAACCTTGAGAGGGTGAGTCTAGCGAAAAAAACTCGGAGCCATTTGCCAGTCTAGTGGTGGTAGTATGATCTTCTTGCGCTGGACAAGCTGAAAATCACAATGCAGTAGAACCTGTATTAAGCGGTCACCTTGTAATAAGCGGTCAGTTTTGAAAGTCCCGAAACTTTCCTCCTTTACTTATAGTACTTTTTATATCAAGCGGTTGTGGTCACCCTTTACTAAGTCCCAACAGCCTATTTGTAATGTTCCCCACCTTTATCGAACGGTCACTAAAGCGGAAGTACTCAAATAAAATTAAGAATAATCTTTCAAGTAAAATTTAATCCATGTTTATCTCCCGAAATCAATGTTAGGAATATTTTTGAGCGAGGTTGTGTATGTTAAGTGGTCCGTGATGGCATAGAGTGGCATTTTTTAAACTTTTATCAATAGTAGCCCTATTCCGTGGAACCTATATTAAACGGTCAACCATTTTCCGTGCGTGACCGCTAAATACAGGTTCGACTGTAACAAGCTTACAGAGTCAAATGAATTTACAATAACTCTGGGAATGCTTACGAATTATTGTAGCTTTTAGTAAGATAAAAGCAAGGATTATCTAATTTATGAACTGTAGGAAACAAGAAGGCGCAAACAGAGCATGTATTTAAAAAAAACTGTCTCAAATATATATTCGACCGACTATTAGGTATTATAACAGATGGAATTTCTAGGCTTAATTGCGTCTCTACTTTTGTAAGTTATCTGGTTCAATGGGCTTGCCTAGTTAACAACAATGCTCGAGATGCGCAGCGTTTTCTTAGCAAATAATTTTTTCAACGAGATGAATCTATTTTGAACTGACATTTTTGTGGCAAGTATGGATTATATGGAGTTTAGTAAACGAATTTTTTTTTATGTAGACCAAATGCATTATAATTTGCGCTGGTAATATAACACCAAGCATACAACAATTCCAGATGTGGATGTTTACCACATAATTAATTGTGTCTCTCTTGACATGCAAAGTTTGTTTGTTTATCTAATTTTTGTGTGGTTTCCTAGCAATCTCCGGAGAGAAAGGAAGGAAGGCCCTGCTGAGAGAGATCGAGTTATTAAAACTCTTTGGAAGGGAGGGCCATGAAAATGTTGTTAAGTTCATTGGTTGTGTCACAGTTGGAGGTAATCAGCTATTGTTATGATTATAATCAGCTAATTCACAGCAACGATAGAGACATCTCTGAGTTCAACCACTGGTACAATTACTTCTATCAGTATTCTTAGTCCTTGCTAAGATGGTGTACTAATTCAATGGTTATTTTCAATTTTTTGACTGTTTTAAATGAATTTACTTCGCACTGTATGAGGGGCATTTTACTTGGAAGATGTTAGCTCTAAAATCTACATGCTAATTGTGATAAAAACTTCAACTTACGATGGCAAGTCTTTGTCTATTTATCTGCCATCTCTGTTTTTTCTGTCTGTCTGTCTGTAGATTTCTATCGGCCGTATGTGTCCGTCTATTTTCTATCTGTGTGTTTTCTTCTTTCACTTTCCCTCTCTGTCTCTACTTTGATTCATTACAGATATAACCTGAGGTATAACTAGATAAAGCATGTACAATTCAAACACGTTTTGGAACTTCTGCACTGCTTGCCGTAAAATAATTTTCTTGTTTTTCCCTTTTAGCTCAGCCAATACTTATCATGGAGTACCTGTGGCGAGGTGACTTGCTGGGTTATCTCAGAAAATCCAGGGGGGTTTTCGACCAATATCATCATGGGGTCGGAGGGGTCGACCACTTGACAACATATGACATGGTGCTGTTTGCTAAACAGATCGCACATGGTATGACTTTCCTCGCGTCCAGAGGGGTAAGTGCTCAAACTCTTTCTGGTCAGCATGTGGTCCTGCATGTGATAAAATGGCATGACTTGCAAATCGTCAAAGTAATACTCCATACGGCTAAAAATATCCAGCACATTAGAGTCACTATTTCACAGAGAAATGGTCTGACATTAGCATGATGTTAAACTTTCTACCTATATTTTACTTTTTTTTATTTTATGTAGTTTATAAAAGTCCCTTTTAGCAGATCATATAATTATTTGTTTTCGATTTCAGATAATTCATCGCGATCTTGCAGCTCGTAACATCCTTCTTGATGAGCATCGTGTCTGCAAGTTGACTGACTTTGGGCTCTCTTATCAGGATTTCAAATACGGCCCAGGAAATGCCAAGAAGGTAATTTTCAGAATTTTTTCATCATTTAGTCAATTGGTTTTGGGGCTGCTGGTATGGAAGATAAAAATGTGAAGAATTAAAATATTACTGTCCTTACAAACCTTTCTTTTCAGTTATACAGTCTTACTGCAAAACATATTTCCCTTTAATGGGAAGCCATTCTAAGCGTATCGAAGCTTTCACAGAAAAAAAAAATTATACCAAGGGAGTGAACACAGGAAATAAGAAAGCCGGAAGAGATATCGTTCTCTGAATAACAAAGATACAAACTCGAAGGGCAAAGTAACACAGGAAATTTAAAGCAAAAGGAGTGTGTGAATTGTTTTCATAGAATTTGTACAAAGGTGTCTACTGCTATTGACTTTATCGTGAATCCTCACATCACGGTTTTAATCTTATATGCAAATTATTTTAGGAGCTGTATACAAGCCTCTTTAGATTTCAGATGTTTATAATATTTTGGTTACTCATCCAGGGATGTATCCCAATCAAATGGACTGCACCCGAGATTCTCTTTGGACATGTGGAACAGCTGTCAACCAAAAGCGATGTGTACGTACTGTATTGGTTATTATCTACATATATTCCATAAGTGAATATTTTTTACGATTCTACCTTAACGTAGCGAGGGAAACTAGAATATTCAGTGCTCTATTGATTAGAGGGTCATTAGGAAACGTCAAGCTGAGGAACAGCTGAGGTTACAGCTGTAGTATGAGACTTTATATGAATATTAAGTTTAACGAGCAATATCCAAAATCTGATTAGGACAAGAAAAGACGGATGAAAGGATGAGTGGATAATCAAACTAATAAATATGGCGTTTTCTCTTAGGGAGGTTGCTTATATCTTGATGGCATGTTTTTAAACATCCCAAGTATCTGAGTAATTATTATCTTTCTAACCCAGTTGAGATATATCGTCATCCTTCCATTTCTTTGACAGGTGGTCCTACGGCATCGTCTTGTATGAAATCTTCACTGTCGGTACTTAACTTATTTGTTACTTTATATTCAGGAAATATACCTGCCGAAATTGCACGCATAATTACTAACTGATGAGTGATACCGAGCGGACAAAAGAGCATTGTACAATAGAGAAGTAGAAGCAACACTCAATGTCGCTGATAAATAAAATTATGACGATGCATAGCAACTTGAAATAAAGCTTAAGTTTAAGTAGAACTGAAAGTATTTAGTACATTATTGAAAAACCTTAAATCCATCGCTACACTTAAATTTGTTTTTTTTTACAGTACTCTTTCATCTGATGTAAAACCGAAATGTATTTCAGCAATTAATTGTCGTTTTGACAGAAGAATCATTTCGATCGCGCTGAGAGGAATGAAAGTGATTACAACAAAAAAAAGTATGCTTTTCTGAAAAACAGAAAAAAACATTATTTTTCCACAGGAGGCATTCCTTACGATGGATGGTCTCAATCCACGACAATGAAAAAAATCGAAGAAGGTTATCGTCTGCCAAAGCCTGAACATATCGACGACAGTTTGTAAGTGTTGCTTCCTCTGTGTGGAATGTTATATAAGTCAAAAGCAACATCGATTGCTGCTGTGGTCAGGTGTTTTTGATACACTCGCTCTGAATAAGTAGCCTTCCTAAGAAATTAATTTTATCTTGTCACTACAAAAATTAAAATGAAAAGTTGTTGAGTCAAATAAAGAATACGATGGGTTTTTCATCACAGAATTCGTTTGAGCTGCAATGTAATGAGATAAACTTAGCATTTCAGTTATTTTTGTAACTAGTTGTGGTTTCTCAACTTTGCTACTTGCAATATTAATGCCTACCGCAGAATTACTGTGATCATATGTCCCTGTGTTTTTCTATAGATACGCGGTGATGTTAAACTGCTGGAAATACGAAAGCGCCAGCCGGCCACACTTTGTGAAGCTCTACCAAACAATGGATACATATATTAAAACAAAGGTTTGCCATACAGCGTCTAATTCAGGATATACTTCAGAAATTGAAATTGGTATCCTACCAAGTCAATTGCGAATTTCTTTTCTCGTCAATAATGTGATGTCAGAACGCATTAACTACCCAGCCGCTAACAATTTGTGAATTCAGTTTCATCATGAACCAATGTTACTTTTAAACATACGCAAGTGTGGTTACGTCATGTCAGTCTGGATCATCCTTATTTTCCCTCTGTTGTCTACACACAAGAAAGAACGGAACAGATCTTAAAATAACACTTTTGGAAAACTTTGACAGAAAGGAAGACCTTACCTGACTTTTATTCTTATCAATTCATGCAAGTACTAATGGTTCTTGTCTTTGTGATTGATATCTGATCTGCTCTTTTTTTTCTTTTTAGTGACTCATTTTTGGAATTTCTTTGTTGAATTTTTGAAATTCATTCGTTCAAGATTTTTTAACTCATGCAGTTCCTGATTACCTTCTAATCTTTTTCATAGACATATGTAGATATCTTTGACGATGACAAGTATGATCAGGATAAGTACAACTTTGTCGATGACCGTGGAGCTGTTGCAAACCCAGAAGATGCAGGACCGGACGAGCTAGGAGCAGCTGCAGCAAATCCCATCGGTGAAGTGGGTGAACACGGTGCTACGGCACATCCCTTTCTGGTTGCAGTGGACGATGATGCTACAGCTTTCCCTCTTGGAATTAACGTAGGAGACGAAGGAGCACCTGCAACAGATCCCGACCGTGAAGTGGGTGAACACGGTGCTACGGCACATCCCTTTGTGATTGCAATAAACGATGGTGCTCAAGCTTTCCCTTTCGCTATTAACGTACCAGAGAAAGGGGCAGCTGCAGCAAATCTCGCCCATGAAGTGGGTAAGCACGGTGCTGCTGCACATCCCTTTGTGGTTGCAATTGACGATGGTGCTACAGCTTTCCCCTTCGCTATTAACTTACAAGACAAAGGGGCAGCTGCAGGAAATCTCGCCCGTGAAGTGGGTAAGCACGGTGCTACGGCACATCCCTCTATGGTTGGAATTGACGATGGTGCTACAGCTTTCCCTCTCGGAATCAAAGTAGAAGAAGAAGGTTGCGCAGCATACCCTTTTGAGAGTGATAAGAAAGATATGGATGCCCAAGCGTACCCTTTGGAGAGTGATACTTTACCATACCTTAGCGAGAACGAGGAAGAAGATGTTGATGACTCCGAGTGCCCTCTTGCGATTGAGGAAGAAGAAATTGATGACTCCGAGTGCCCTCTTGCGATTGAGGAAGAAGAAATTGATCCTTTACCATCCTCCCTGGTGATGGACGAAGACGGTCTAGCTGCTTCAGCATGTCCCCTTGTGACTGACGAAGAAAATTCTGATTCTTTAGCATGCCCCCTTGTGGTTGAGGAAGAAGATTCCAATAACTCAGCATGCTCCCCTGTACCTGGGGAAGAAGATTTGGAAGCCACAGAATGCCTTTCTGTTACTGAAAAAGAAGATCCTACCTCTTTCGCACGCTCCGCAAATGAGGTGAACAAACCCGATGCCTCACCATTCCCTTGTGTGATCGAAGAAGAAGATCTTGATTCTTTAGAATACAATCCTCTGATCGAAAAAGAAGGCCTCAGTGATTCCGTCTTCCCTCCAGAAATTCAAACTGATGACGAAGAAGGTGTAACAAGTGAACCTGAAAATACCGTTGGTTATGAAGGTGCTGTAGCAGTTCAATCTGAAAAGGAGGCAGTAGAAGAAGAACCTAAGACTTGCCAACTAGAGTACACGAAGGATGAACAAGACGATCTTGGAAACTATATGGACGACCAAAGTGATGCTGTAGACCTTTTTGACGGAGACGCTGGCGTACAAGAGTATGATGGTAATCAACTTACTGCTGCGGATATAGACGAAACTGGAAGTGACGAAGACGAGGAGTCATCTGAAGCAACTCCTCTTGTGCAGGACTGAGGCTTAATAGCAGAATTGCTGAACCTCTAAGGTTGTAGTCTTATAACACTCTGTGGTAATTTGTAGTTTATATTTCGAGAATTTCAGCCTCAATATTTCATAGTTTTTGATTTTAAGACGTAGGTTTTTTCGTACTTTTACTTTAGTAATGCTTTGGTAGTGATGATAACCATTTTCATAGTTTATAAATGGAGGTTAAGTGGAATTTCCTTCAAAGAAAAAACTTGTTTATTTACTTCACTTTTGCATTTCTTAGTTTACCGTTTATTCACTTGGTGCACTTGTCAGTGCTTTGTTGATGTTATTGACTGTAGGCTGATAGAGACAAAAAAAAAAAAAAAAAAAAAAAAGAAATTGCTGTTAAGATAATTTTTATAACTGATCAAGTCAGAAATGCTGCGTAAGTTTGTGAGTGTTGTTCCTAGTATAAGTAATATTTCCTAATCTAATTAAGAATAATTTACTTGTTGTAAAGCACTCCAAATGCTTCAATAAACTTATATAAGCTAAACTCGTTTCGTTTACTCCATTCATTGCAGCAAAATTGCTGGTCTGGATCTAACTGTAGATTTGAAGGATACCATAAACTAAAATGACATCTGGCCTCCTTCAAAGAGTAAGATTGACGAAAATCCAGTAGCGCTGCGTTAGTTCTGATAAGTGTATATATTTTTCTATTCCCAGCTTACGCTCGCTTAGCAACCAGGAGTAGCATATCCTCAAAACATTATTAACCCAATACATTTTATCCTTTTTGTAGACAGCTACTGACTCACCGGCCTTTTCAATCGAGTTCTCTATTCCAATTTGTTGATTAGATAGGCGGTATTAAGCTGATTAGTCTTGAATGTTGTTATTTCACATCACTGCTTCTAATCATTGTCTGAGAAAAGTGTTTTAGAAGTTTGAAACATAAATGACCCCATTGTGATGATTCTTAGTGCAGAAGTTGGCCTAAGGCAGATATTCCAAGTGCCAAGGAAGCATTATTTTTTACTTTTTATCTCCACAGTTTCAGGCATTTTGGCGTCTCGGGATATTGTGTTTGAATATTGTTGACACTAATCGTGCCTTCCTGGTGCACTATGTCAGCAAATATGTCGAGTTTAATCAAGCAATAGATGGCGTTTTCGAGAAACACAGACGAGCTAATATAATAATGGATTCTCATTCAGTCATTTTCAATTGTTTTTTTCACGAGCACTTACATATAACGCTGACATTGCCTAACCCATTGCTTCAACTTTCATCGTGAGAAGTACTGTGCTATGATTTTTAGAGAAATAGGCAACGGCAGTTATTTTCTTACTGTCCGTCGTTGTGTTTCTTGACATGAGCAAGTCCTTTGACAAAATAAACGAGGGCATTTCGGCGTGGCTTAGTTCATCATTAATCCATCTGCTAGAAAACAAGTAGCGCTCATAAATTCTGAGTCCCTGACTCTCTGGTCTTTGAATCCAGAGTGCCACAAGCGGTTATTCCATGACTTGTTTTGTTCAGAATTTATGTAAATGACTTTTCATATGCCCCTCCAATCTTGTTTTACTGAATATTATTGGATGATACTAAACTTCAGATTTCTCTCCCAGTTCAAGGCTGGGCTAAGACAACAATTTTTTTCTGAGACAGGGAGTGTCCTTTAAATGAAAGTGAAATAAAACCACGATCGTCGATCAAAAGATCGGTGGTGACTCTGATGTCGATCTCAAAAATTTTGGTTTTTGCCTTTTTTTCAGTATTTATCTATTTGACTGTTCAATATGCTTATAAGGAAGTATTTATCGTTTAGATAGGGTTTTGAAATTTCTGCACACGAAATTAAATTAAATTTTTTTTTATTTGAATCTCCCGAAAATCTGACATATTTCGATCCATATATAGATATAAGGAACCCAAAAGTAGTCACTAAAACGTTACTCCGCACATCCTTCTCCATTCACCTCCAGGGGATTTGCGCCCAAAAATGTTGTGATTATTACAGGAATAAATTATTCAAAATCATATTTTTGTATTATTTTATCTCACAGTATTAAATTATATACAAAAACAAATATTCATCTAAGTGCCGGTGGCTAGGGGTAGATATTTACATCTCCGCTTGGCAGCTTGGTAAATATCCACCACTAGTTAACTCTACCTTGGTGAAGAGTTAAGAAATAATTATTTGATAAACTTTCAATAGGGCGATTGGCATCGCAACTTATCGTAATAATGCAAACATTTCCGAGAAGACAATATTGGAAAATGGATCATTTTTCTATCCATATCTTGTAAAATTAATGTCAATGAAGGAAATATGAATAAACTTGAAAGGTCTTGGCTGGCCACCAACACCAGCACCTGTACAACAACAACTGAAGTGTGTCAATAATCATGTATTGTTACCCTTGGTGTTATCAAAACAAGCAGGCTGACATATCTGTCAACCAAAAACGGTTTATTTATGCGACTAAGAATAAAGTATTTGAAAGCCTAATGACCCATTGCCAGTCTCTAGCTAAATACTATAACAGGTACCGATAAGTAAGCACGTAATACTTCTTAAAAACCGTCAGGAGGAGACAGATTGTGCCTTTCTGTGAGAGCGTAGCCGGTTTTAATGACTAAGCTATTGAGTCATTCATCACGCCCTTAAAACCAAGACTATTGCCAAAATGGCCTACAGTATATTCTAGAGCTCGTGTGAATGATTTATTCGTATTACATCATTACACATTTTACGCTTTGTTTTTGGAAGCAGATGTGAACTGTTTGTGGAAAAAAAAATTTTGTTGAACATTGATAAGGGCTGAGACGACCGCTGGTGTTTTCATCATAAAGTTAATGTTCAAGAGAACTTAAAGTTTAGCTAAATCTCGTTTTTTATTATTCTCGAATTTAATAATACCAAAATATAAGCCATTTAATTACCAATCAGCCATTTTTGTGGCGTCCTCAATTTGTGAGATGTTTAATGTGGTCTTATTTGATATTCAAGTATGACGTATTTTAAAATAAAGGTTAGACATATTCATCTTGAGGTTTTTCCTCCTGATTGTGGGGGGGAAAGTCAGCTGAAAGAGGCCAAAAATGCAAAAGAAAGCAGTGGTTCACTGTGACTGTATAAATAGAGAAGTCAGCAATAACTGAGGCGGCGAAAAAGGAAAAGAAAATAACAACCTTCCTTGTTTAAAAGCGCCGCCAGCAAGAGGACTAAAGGGGCCGCACAAATGTACGGGGTAGACTCTTTTAAGGTTTTATTCGACAAAGTTGCTTCGCACTTCGCTGAAAACGGTTTGTTCAGTCAAAATGCGAGATATTAGATTTACGTATGAGAGAACAGGGCATATCGAGCAAAGACAAGTCCACAATTAACGTTTATTTATTAATTTTGTTTATGCATGGGCGATCTTTAAATAAATATTAGAAACCCGTCCAAAATAGATAGAAAGAATCAATTCTCAATCAATATCTCATTGTATTTCATGGCAAAAAAAATAGACTAATGTTATGTCTTCCTCTTCTTCTTATTCTCCTTCCTGTAAAGAGAACATGGAAAAGAAAAAGAAATTTGTATTCCTCCTCATATTGCAATAGAGTTTTCGACTCTGTAAGTGCAATTACTTGTCAGCATTCAATGATTCGTTATTGATTAATATGAAAATTCGCAAAAAATTATTCTTTAAGGACACGGAAGTTTTTCCACATAAATAAAGGCGACCTTGAATCACGAACAACAACAAAACGCCCTGGCTGTGTCCTTTACTGCCTTTCTCACTTCTGTGATTTTCCAACAGTAAAGAAAGGGATTCAGAGATGAGTTCAGATAAACTAAAGTTTTCGTAAAGAGCCACAGAGCATGAACTGCTGATCCACTAAGTACTGTATGTCTCAATATCGACACAATTATAAAAGGGGTGTAGCATGCCACTAAAGCCAACTGCACCCAAAATATGCTGGAAACTGTTTTCTGATATTGTTTGATGTTTAGTTGAACTCTCCCGTTTAATCTTTGTTTTGATGAACCTTTTGCTGTCCATGCACGTACTCTTCCCCTTCCTGTACCTTTTACTCCTGCTCCTTCTTCTGTGGCTGTTCTTGTCCCCGTTATTGCGCCTGCTTCATCTTTTCCTACTCCTATATCTTCTCCTGCGTTTGACCGTCCTTCGCCAGGGTTGTCTTCTACTTCAGCCTGGTACCGCTGTAATCTCAGGTGGATCTTTACGTAGCAAAACACGGAAGTAACCAGAGATACCACAACGGCCACAAAAGCAACAATCTCCGAAACCGTTTGACTCCAGACACGAACCAATCCGCATAAAACAGCAATTATCCAGCATAAAAGTATAACAGCTTGAGTTCGCTTTAGTGTCACAACTTGTCTGTATCTCAGCCTCAATAACAGAACAAGAAGTCTGTCAACACTGATGGCTGTTGATATCAGTACAGTCACTCCAAACAAAACATAGTTGGATATACAAACAACCTCTTCGACGTAATACAAAATATCTATGTCGGTGTTACCAAGATCAATGTAAAGAAATAAAAAAGTCACGAACAGAGGTTGTGAAAAAAGACCCACACAAATATCGGTAGTGGCTAGACATTCAAACAAGACCTTTGCAGCGGGATGCAAAGAGGACACTTTATAAAATGTTAATAGAAGCAGAGCATTACCAAGAGATGCAGTGAAGGAGAGGACAATGTTGAAAGCGAGGAGAAATGCTACTACTCCAATTGGTAATTGTGAAGATAACTGGCTTGTGAGGGTCGCCATTGGCGCTCACGTTCAGACTTGTGGCTCTGTCTTTCCCTCTTTTGGCAGCAAATGAACGTTTATTGGGCGATCCGTCTTCGATATAAGAGTATTATTGTTCTGTTGAGAATTTTAGCAGTTTCTATTGGATAAAAAATTCCTCCTGTCGTCTGATTTTACGATGACAAATGTCACAGCTATAATTAGACTTGTTTTTAACTCTTTCGTGTTTTATTCAAATTCTTCGAATTTTCATCATGTTTAGTGAGCGGGTGCCACATTTATTTAACAAACTAAATGACGTAGAATCTGCGAGTTATTTTTCACCGATACTTTGTAGAGCTTCCTCAACAAGTCAGCTTTTCTTTTCAGTTCCTGACCCATGTGTGTCTTTGTCCTTCTTAGCTATGCTTGTTTTGTTTTTAAGGTAACATATTTGTGGTTCCTTTATGATGAGCAAGTGCTTTTTAGATAAAAAAAATTTGCATAATATACTGATGTTTAAGAACATTGAGGTCAATTCTCATAAAATAAAGGCATCCTTGAGCTACAAACAACAACAAAACGCTCTGATTGTCTTCTTTACTGCAATTCTCACTTCTCTGAACTTCCAGCACTAAAGAAAGAGATTCAAATTTAATTTAATGTTATCAACTGAGTTGATAAAGTAAACTGGCTACCGTATGCCAGTTCCCTATTATTCGTAACAGAAAAATTAATTACTTTGCCGCGAGTGTGTTCCCTAAATTCAGAACTCATTAGCCAGAGCCAATTTGCCGGCACGTCAAAATATGTTAGTGAGTAGTGGTACTCTTTAACTTGGCGAAAAACATAAGCGCAAGGCTGAAAAATATTCGTGAAAATCCTAGCTCGATATCACTTTTTCCTCTGAATGAATTCGATTAGGAACTGAAGAGAAAACACAACTTTAAAATTAATTAAATTTGCTTTGAAAGGAGTAGGCTGTAGTGTGCGGAAAAACAGTTTTACCACCGCAAATAGCCAGCTGAAAAGAAACAATTACCTCCATGCTTCTTTTGAAGTAAAAATGAAAAAATAAGCCACAGGAAATATTGGAAAATCACCATAGGAAAAGAAAACAAAATGATATTGACCGAAAACACTTCAACTTTGTTTTTCTTGAATATAGAAACCCCCCCCTTCTGCAGTTGACAGTCTTAAATGGCTAGAGAGACTTAAATATCACCACCTGCTCATTTCGGAAACTAGATTCGTTCTTTGGATGTTGTGTGGTCTTCAAGAGGAGAGTTCTCAACGCCTTTAGCAATGAGAGTGGTAACTGCTATAAAATAACATGGAGAACCTGACGGAAAATACAAACCAAACAAGAATCGATCAATTTCGTTGCTTCACGGGCGTATATGATCGAAGTCTTATTATGTTTGTTTCGTCATTGATCTCATAATTTTCATTGAAGCCATTGTGGGAAATGGTCTCATTCTTTTCCCTCTCTGCAAGATTCTTCCCTTCATCAACCATCAAAATGTTTGTTCAGTAATCTTGCATGCACTGATATCACCGTTGGACTCAGTTTCCAGCCGTTTCATCTTGCTTACGCAATTTCCCAAGAACACTCTGCAAATTGTTACCATAGCTCGCTCATCAACCGAACCTTGGGGGTCATTTTCTGTGGCGTGTCTGTTCTCACAGTGACTGCAATAAATATAGGCAGACTTTTAGCTGTTTCACTTGGGCTAATATATCGACAAGTAGTAACTCTGTGGCGAGTAAGAGTAACTTTAGTCCTTTGTTGGCTTGTTTACATTACAAGAGGAATAACAAACCATTCCATCCTTTCTATTTATTTGATAATCAGTAACATGGGTGTAACTTTTTCGATGATGACTTCTACTTTCTGCTACATAGCAATTTACATAAAACTCCGCCGTCAACAAGCTCAACTCCAAGCTTAAACTATCATTCCCAAATTGTGTGATACACATACATTTTTCAAAGATAAAAACATAGCAGAATGACGTGCTCATTGTTGAGTTGAATTAACAACTGAAAGATGGAAACTTAAAAGCCGCGCTTCAAAAGATTGCAATATCACTGTCATCATCCGAATCATCATCGCCAGATATCGTGATTTCAATTTCGTCGTCATCATCATCATCCTCATCGTCATCATCATCATTCTCATCATCATCGTCATCGACATAGTCATCTTCCTCGCCACCTTCGTCGGATTCCTACGAGAAAAAAGGCATTGAGTCGTTATTTTGTTGACCTACATCAAACACGTGTTGCAATAAGTGACGTGATTTAAAGTTCATCTCTGCTTTAGTGCCAGGGGGGCGCTATAGTCCACAACCTAACAAAGTGCAGGATTTTGTATGCAAATAAGGCAAGAACCAATCACATAACCGAATTCGCATCCAAGATGGCGGTTTCACTTCTCTTTGATTGGTCCGTTCCTACGAATATTGATGTGAAAGTCCTCAAGATTCTCATACCTGCTCGTCCTCGTCATCAGCCCTACGCAGCCGCCCAACTTCGTATACCCGGCAAACGCTTTCGTCGGTGCTCGCCTGATTCTAAAAAAAAATCATTACGGGATTTATGATATGAAATAATTCATGTGAACTGTTATGACATGATGACGAGATCCTTGCGGTGATATTTTGTAACTTATGCAATCATGAAATGACAAGTAAAGCCAGTCAGATGGCTCACATTGCCAAAGTTTCTCCCAGTTGTCGTGGCATAAGGTAGCTGGGATTACTGCTAGCTCCTAATTGCAATGCAGGCATTATATTAGGGCGAGTTAAAGTTAAGAAGTTCGCGATCTATTATTTGACCGGCCATGTTTGACTTGGAGTTTGAGTGGACAGTGGAAGGAGGGGGCGGTGAAAGGCGAAAAGACCCTTGCTCGAAGAGGCTGTTAAAAAGCGAAACACCTCCTGACTAATTGTGCGTCACCGCATTTTCGGAAATGAGCAAATAACCGTAACCACAAGAAAAAGAAAAAAGAAAACAAAAAGGGTAGAGCGGATGAGTGAAACTGTGAGACAGTTTTTTTTTCAGCGAGGAGACAAATGGCTTCGACGTAGCCCCCTCCGAGGACACAGATATGAGCTGATATTCACTGCATTCTATGTTCTTTGAGTGTAGCTTCCGTTAATCCCCTTGACGATGTTTCTTCCATTTGATTGTAAACGGTACTTTGAAGCAGACACACTTCTGCACACGAAGGTTTGTTTTATAATTAGTTTTAATGCTAACTGTGTTCGCCCACAACTCCGTTTGTGGGCGAACACAGTTTCCCAAACCAAGAATGACCTCAGACGAGCGTAATCTTCATTGCCCCACCCCCCTTTTTGACCGTGGCTCAACCCCGTGTTACAAATTTCTTCCTCTACTGGAAATGAAAGGCTAGTTAGTCGCAAGGCTCTCCTCCCCTCCCCCTTCCCCAGCATTTCGTCAAGTTTTCGCACCAGTTGCTGCTACCCATTTTTATTCCTCGGTGGAGAGATGTACTGTGAGAATAACGTATCTTCCCAAAGAACACTTCACAAAGACCTAACCAGGGTCCCAACCCAGACTCCTCGACCCTGATTCCTACGCTTTAATGATTGGGCTTCAGCTCCTCAAATAATTTCACAAAGAGGTTTGGAGGAAGGAAAAAAAAAAAAAAAAACAAAAACAACATTGAGACTTTGAACAGGATTTGAGCTTGTGACCTCGCGAGATGCCGGGTGCAGTGCCCTGGCCGACTGAGATATGTAGTCACTACCCCTTAATGAAAGGTGAATTTGTCGGCTCAGGTCTTACGATCAAGATGAACTGAATTGAATGTTTCATAGAAATCATAAGAATCCTCTTATCTCTGAAGGAGTGAGAAGAGGGAGAAAAAAAGAGAAGAGAGGAAGGTAAGCAGGAGCGGGAGAGGAAGAGGATGGGAATGAAAGAAAAAGGATGGAAGGGAGGAAAACAAAACAATGCAGAGGTTTCCGATTTAAAAGCTTACCTTACAAAGTTGTTAAACTTGTCAAACTTGTGTATAACCCGTTTGCCTTTGACATCCCATAATACACCGTCGTTCAGTACCAGGTCGTCCGTGGGATTGAAGGAGGCGAGGTTCTTTGAGTAGTTGTTAGTGTTGTTGGAATCGTGCAGAGTTAGTACCCGCTGACCTGTCGCAGTGTCGTAAATCTGATGGTTGAATATAATCTAGTGAATAATATCATCACACTCTAACTGCATTCTAATGCTCGTTGTTATCGAGAAATAAAAAGGGTGTTTTAGCAGAGAAGTACCACAAGCAATAAACGACAAAAAAAAAAAAAAAAAAAAAAACTGAACCAAATACAAGAAAACATTGGTCAACCCTTACTAAGGTAATCACAAGGCTTTGCCTCCAATTTATTAACGATCTACCGATAGAAATCTCGAGTTCGACGCCTTAAAGTTTGTTTAATTTTTCAAAAGACGCATTTCAACTGAGAGACGTGAAAGAAAAACCAAAGTTGTTTCTAAAGCATATCAAAATAACCAATAAAAAATTATTAAACACAGCCAACAGGCCTCAGAACAAGTAAACTGAGGCGTAGAAAAGTGATCTTGGTCATGAAGTCTGAGCTAAAAATGCTTCTTGAAAGTCCATGTATTCGAGACAAAAAATGATCGCGCACAAACTTGGGCGAAATCAGCGATTCTATCGTCCTTGCTGTCCCGTGTTCACGCTGTAGCAATTTCGCTTATCTATTTGTCCTTTTGTAAATGTTCTAAATGAACAGCGACAATTTGTCAAACTAAGGCTGATCGCGATGTATTTAGAAGTGAAAATGTATCATATGTCTTGAACTCACATGCGCAGTAGCGTCGTGTGTGCCAATAATTCTGTGTTCTGATAAATTACTAGACTTTACCCAGGTGTCTTCGCTAAATGTATGTCTGAGCCAAAGACAAACAAATAAAATTATAGGTAAATAACATTTTTTATCAAATAGAGAGATAAATGTAACGACGAAATATTACAGTTCGCCTACTGTCACCGTGTTATTAACACCAATCTGATTATAGGATACGAGCCATGATATACACCTAAATTATTTCCCATTTTGCTTGTTTTGATCTTGAGCGTTGATTGCCGCAGGTGCATTAAGTTGAAATCATTGCTCGTCTCCTGTAATCTATGAAATTAGTTTGTCTAAGTGTCTTCTGTAAAAGTTGTAGCTCTGAAAGAACAATGTAAAACTTCTTTTTGTATCTCAGCGATCCTCAAGTCAATAAAAATTAATGGTAAAACATAGCGAAGTATGTGTTTGCTTTATGTTTCTGCGACAAACATTGTAGTTTGTTAAAGGTGAGATACAAATATACCAAGCAGAGACACAAACAAGGACGTAACTATCCAATGCACTAGTGGTACGAATCAAACAGGTTTTCAAAGACTTACTTCATTTCGAAAACGTCTCCAAATGACCAAAGAGCACAGGGAGGCGAAGCAGATGAAGATGACGTCAATAAAAGTTCGCGGTCCTAAAAGTTGAAGAATGGAGTACAGAAAGACAATTTCAGTGATAAATGAATTCGTGAACACAACCTGAAATGGTCACATGAGCCTTAGATAGGTTCATAACGTTGCGAAACGCGCTGCAAAACTGATGAATAAAAAGGGTTGATTGGTTTGAACGAAAGATATGGAAACTAAACAGTTAACATGAAGACTGAATTTGACCGAACGTTAAGTTATTTAAAAGCAATAGCGGAGCTGCCTTGTTTGTGTGGATGTGGACCGAAATCCAACATCGAACCTAACTTGTTACCATTTGACTGTTGTTGGGTCTGGGGAGGGAGGGGTGGGTGCGCCAAAAAAAAAATTGTTGAAAAACATTAATGAAACTTTCCACTCTGTTTGAAGTAGAAAGAAACGTATTTTTGACTACATGGGGAGGGAAGCTTCCATGTTGTACTCTTACTTTTGAACATTGGCACATGGAAATTGCTCTGTCTGCGCTACAGAGATAATTAAGTCGCCTCTTCCTGCAAAATATACTTTTTTAAAAATAAATTCGTGAAATACAAAAGAACATGAAAATCATGCACTGAGCGGTTTAAATCTAAAAAAGAACAAAAAAAAAGGAATAGGTGAGATACAGCTGACAACTTAACTTGTCACAATTAACGACTAATTCATTCACATACAACTGTTTCAAGAAAAATTTTGCGTTTGACTTGAAATCAAAATGTGTAGATTGAGTTTTGTACCTTTCCAGTTATTAAGTTGTATTCCTTCAACTCGCCTATTTGTGTTCCAAGTAAAACAGACTTGCCATCGGGCTGAGGAGAAAAAGTAAAAACTTAGGTACTACGTTTACATGACCTCATAAAAGCCATCATTTTTTTTAAACAATAGTTAGGATAATTATTACGAGTAGAAAAAAAAAAAAGGAAACACAAAATCATAATTTCTATTTTACTAAGAATCAGCCAAATGCAAACGACACAAACAAGAGGTTCAAACCGTTTGACTTCTAAGAGTGACCAGCGTCTAATTTCTCTTTACAATATCACTCCTTGAAGCAAACATTAGGATCACGAGAATAAAGAAAATGATCACCAAATAAGAAGCTCTTGATTTTTAACTAAATTCTCCTTGTCAGCACCTTAGGAATTACATAGAGAACAGTATGGAGAATATGCATACTGATGTTAGCATGTCAAGGGTCAAGCCCTGAAGATAGGTTTTTGAGGAGTAAATTTGAGGTCTGAAGAAGTGTCACGGTTCGTTCATCGTAAAAAAAAATTTAAAAAATCGGTGTTCAGTTTCAATTGGTTTTAATCTTCTTCACTCTTGGGAACCAGTCTTTATTTATCACGGTGGAGGTAGGTGAATTCCTGGGGATCCCATGGTTTTCGGGGGGGGGGAGCGGAGGAGGATCAGTCGTCCCTAACAGAGCTTAGAGGAGCAACTATAGAATTGACTGCCAATGAGGTGGGATCATTACAATACTACAGACCCTTAAGGGGGGATCAGGTAAATTTTATGGTGAAACAAAAAGAATACTCTGACCCCCGCCCCACTCCTCCAAGAGGAAAAATTACAGGCCCCTTCTTAAGTTTACTTCAACTGCTTTGCGTTTGCCAAACTTAGCCAATCATGATCTTTTCCATCCAACGCAACGCAATCTTTTATCTTGCGCGAGATAAAAGCGTGATATCCCAAGCGAATAAGAGCTTGGGTAGCCTATCAGAACACAGGACTAGCTTCATCTTGCTCGCGGGCACTCCCAGCTGTATAATATACATGATTAGACAAGCGTGAAAAAAGCACCGCGCTGTGCAATACTCACTTTGTAACTGCCAGAGCACGAATACAATCTGCATCAACCAATGGCGTTTTCACCATCAGTAAGGAGAGTAAAACCTTGATGCCATTACTGGCCCTGACACATCCACACATCTTGGATAAGATGTCGTCGATGCTTTTGAAAGCCGGCTTGGATTTCGACTGAAATTTTGAAACAGCTCCACTAATCTGCAAACAATGAAGACAAGAGTAATCATCGCAGTGACGCCAAACACTACTCAAGCAGTTGAAAAAAATAAAAAATGAAAAAAGAGTCAGGCCTATATCATAGTTGAACCGAGAACTGGAAAAAAAAGGAACGCACTCGGCCTGGTAGCTTAAAACTTTAAACGCAAAGTACTTTTAAATTCCTAACGTTTTCCTAACGTTTGAGAAGCAATTTTTTCATTAACTTTAATCAGCCTAAGACTGGGAGGAGAACAACGTTGAGGGGGAGAAGGGAAGAGGTAAGCAAAGATTATCGTGTTGACTCCGATATTGACTCAACTTTACGCAACTTTGTCATTATCAAGTCAGTTTCAAAATGAAGAATTTTCGCCTTGCTTGTTTTTTGTTGTTGTTGTTGTTGTTTTTTTTTTTTTTCGCGAGAAAACTTTCAGGAACTCAATATGCCAGTAACAACAATTAGACATAGTTTGACGCTACTCTGGTTTGCAGATTTAATGAATGTAACCGAAGAAGTTACGATTCATAGACCCAACGTTTCGACACTCCTGTCTAGTGCCTTCATCAGGGGTGATCTAAACGCTGCAACAAGAGGTCCTTTTATATGATCACTATGATCAGTATTCCCAACAACAGGCGACAAAATTCTCGCAAGATAACCAGAAATTGCGTAAGTCGGAGAATTAAAAAAAGAGACAATGGGTCTCAAAGGAATTCCCGGTTTATGAATTTTAGGTAAGCCATAAAAACGTGGACATAAGCCGTCACAACTGTTTAACATTTTGTACGTAGTGTCACTAATTCTACCAGCTTTTTTCAAATCAAGCAACATTTTGTTTAACTTTCTTTGAGTTTTACTGGTAGGATCAGAGTTTAAGACAGCATACGTATTCTTGTCATTAAGCAGAGACAAAGCTTTGTCGTGATATTGCTGTTTGTCCATAACATTGTCTCTTTTGTCGCCTGTTGTTGGGAATACTGATCACACTGTCAAAAATTCCTGCGAATTTGCGGATTTCATAAGAGATAAAACTCCTAACGCTTGTGAAGAAATAGTATCTTTCGAAGTTGTTTCGCTCTTCACCAAAATCCCAGTTGATCTTGCCGTTAAGGTTGCGGAGGAAAGACTCAGGGAAGATGCTTCCCTGGGACAAAGAACTTCTTTGCCTGTGGAGGATATTATTCATCTGCTGTCTTTTTGCCTCAAAACCACGCAATTTACATATAACGGCACCTACTATCAACAAGTTTTTGGTACAGCGATGGGTTCGCCCGTCTCTGCTGTCATTGCTAACATGGTAATGGAAGACGTGGAACAAAGGGCCTTAGCCACTTCACCGGTTAAACCCTTTTTCTGCAAACGATATGTCGATGATGTTATTTCTGCGGTATGCGGAAATGAAGCGGAGCGCCTCTTGTCGCATTTGAATTTAGTAGAGCCGTCGATCCAATTCACCCTTGAGCGTGAAAAGGATAGACATTTGCCCTTTCTTGATTTAAATGTGTCCAGAGGGTTTCAGGGTAATTTAGAGACAAGTGTATACCGTAAACCTACCCACACTGACAAATACCTCGCTTTCGATTCTCACCACCCTATTTGTCATAAAAAGTCTGTAGCCAAAACTTTACTTAGGAGGGCTGACTGTCTACCATCTTCACTCGATTCGAAGGCTGAGGAGAGGAAATTTACTGCCAATGTTCTAAAGGCAAATGGCTATACAAAAATTTTTCTCCGTAACTGCCAAAAACCAGTTACAAATAGTAACGCTCTTGATGAAAGGGAACCAGTGACTAGTTTTGCTGTTTTTCCTTACATACAGGGTGTTACGGAACCCATCAAGAGAATTTTGAATAGCCACAACGTTAAAGTTGCTCAAAAATCTTTTCAGACTTTGGGGCATATTTTCGCCAAACCTAAGGATCCTGTCACGAAAGAACAACGAACCGACGCCATTTATACTATTCCTTGCAATGACTGTGACAACGAATACATCGGACAGACCAAACGTCAGTTTGGTACACGGTTAAAAGAGCACCAAAAAGCGGTTTTTCTTTGCAAAAAGGAAACTTCAGCTTTATTGGAGCATACATGCTTAACCAACCATACAATTGGGTGGGATAATTCTAAAATTATCACCACTAATTGGCGTTACCATCAGCGCCTTTGTTTGGAGGCTTGGCATATCAACTCCGCCCACGCTCCTTTAAATCGTGACGATGGCGGTTTGCTTCCTGACGCCTATTTACACCTCGTCAGAAAAAAAAGGCCGCTAATTAGTGATCATATAAAAGGACCTCTTGTTGCAGCGCTTAGATCACCCCTGATGAAGGCACTCGACAGGAGTGTCGAATCGTTGGGTCTATGAATCGTAACTTCTTCGGTTACATTCATTAAATCTGCAAACCAGAGTAGCGTCAAACTATGTCTGACTGTCCACCTGGTTGCCGTGTGAACTTTAATATAACAACAATTAATTTCCATTCATTATGGAACGATTAACCATCGATCATTTAAACATAGAGCAGTGGACAGGCCTCGAAAAATGGCATTTAAAATACAGTGAGAAAAATTAAGAAAAATCTTAAGTCAATAATACTAAAAGGCTACCTGTATCCTTTAGAAGGCAGTAGAAAATCGCTACAACTAATGTTCTGATACGATTTTGATTTTTGAATTATCAAAAACATCAATTCCTTGAGTTGAAACGATTTCCGAGAATTTCCAATTCCGGTAGCACAGTCCCACAGTCCAGGGGCCAATACTGGTAACAGAACTTCCTTTATTCGTGGTTAGTGCAATCAACATGGTGGACTACAAAAACGTGTCTCCTACGCATGATCGTGCGAGTAGCCGCTGACCAACACTAAAGGCAGACCTTTCCAATGACGTACCTATTACTTGTCACTCCCCAGTCTGACGATAGGGAGATCAACTGAAACAGCAGGGTGAAGCCTTGAAGTCTGTTCATCACCTTTGGGATGGAAGGAAAAAATGTTAAATAATAGCGAACTTGAGCAGTCAGGAATGAAACGCCGGGGAAGACGTCGACTAAAATAATGAATTTTTATTTCTGGTTCGGATTTTGCGAATGGCTGGGTGTGTTTACCGTCTCTTACGGGGCCAGACCACAACCTCAGCATAACATATGTGAGCCTGGTTGAGTTCCAAATGGAAATTTTACTCCTATGCCATCAGGGTTTCCGTTCTCAGACATAGCAAATTTTGGTGATTTCACGTTTCAAGTGCTGTTCTCGTTTTAAGCCGTCGTGGTTTGCCACAGATCCCTAATAAACATAAGAAAACGTATGCATCCTGACACTGTAGAGCCCACAGACAGAAGCGAGTTTACACTAGTTATGGGTAAATCGGCAAGATCCGATTAGAATTCCAGCCGCTTGGGTAGCAAAGATTTTCATACTCGACCACTTCATGGAATATCCAAACAAAAAGTCCACAAAAAATGAACCAGTCTTGTGCAAGGTTATTTCTTTCTTATCTCTCTTCATGCAGCAATAAGTGCTGTGAAGTTTTTTCTACCTGAAGGTTATACGTTATACATAAATAAGCTTTTTCTGGGGGGGGGGGGGAAAGGGAGAGGGAGATTGATGAAAAATAAGCAGAGATGTGTTATTCATTGTTATTTCATGTTTAACGGAATGATACTGGTTACCTCTTTCTTTTAGAAAAAACTGGTCTGCTCATAACTCACAGATCATTGGTA